TGTCAGGTGGCCTGAAATGAGAGACTGTGGGTAATGGCTCGTCTGTCCCATCGGAGATGCCCACGATGGTTTAGTTCGTGTGCGTGTGTGTGCGTGTGTGTGTGTGTGTGTATATGTGTGTGTGCGCGCGTGTAATGTGTTGAGGATTTTAAGACAAAACTAATCTTGAATCTGGGCTTAGTGTTTCCTCGTTGACTTTGGTACGTGTTTTGGTGGCCTTGATCTTCTGTGAGGGAATTAATGAGCTGTGTGTATTTTAAGTGGGCAATTTTATGAACTAACCCTGGGCGGGGTTTTTGTTTATCAGGGTCCTTTCTGATTCAAGGTCTTGTTTGTTTTCTCCTCAGTGCAATTGCTAGGGGTACTGCTCGGTTGGTTCGTTGACATTGGAAGAGCGTTTTGTTGTTTTTAATGTAGTCAAGCACTTATTACAGTGATCATTCTGTTGAAGTTCATTTTTATAATGAAGGATTGACAGAGAAGCAAAATTTGACCTGACCCAGTGTTTACTTAACTCTTAATTTTTTACGTTGGTCAAAGTTGTCAAGGGTTAACCTTTTAAAAACTGAATACTATCTAAATTAACCAAAGTAACAGTTAACAGTTTTTGTTGAATCATTGCATGTTCCCTGAGAAACAGAATGTGGCCTATAAGGATTGAAAATAAGGAATTTTGAGATAATCTGCTTTTCCAAAATTTACGTAATGTTGAGCAACTGTCTTTTGCATCTTAGGGTCTTCGTTTTGGTTTTGGGGGGGTTGGGGGCTTTTTTTTTTTAACTGGAAACTTGCCACAGAAAATTATAGGTAATTTTACGTTCTAAGACATGATATGGAACATTAGATGAATATATACCACGATCCATATCTAACTGTAGCCTGCTTTTGGACAAAAGATGGGTCTCGCCATGGATTGTAAAAAGTCACACAGCTTTCATATGGAATTTTAGATCACTGGAAGAGAACTTTGAACGCTGAATCATTTAGTAAGGAAAGTAAGGCCCTCAAGAATGGAGTGGTTTGTCCATGGCCCTTTAGTTATGTTTTTGAAGTATGGGGAGGGGGAAAAAGTAGTATATACTCATGATTATATAAACATTTAAAAGTTTAGAAAAATAGGTACTATAGGTCAGGGCCTTGGGGTTTTTTATGTTGTTTTTTAAAATTGTCTTATGAGAAACAGGTTTAATTTTAAGAGTACCATATATATGTATTGATTTTTAGTAACTGCATTGTCTGTACTTCCTTTGGCTAAATCTAAGTGCAAACTTACTAAAGTATAAGCTTATTGACAATAGAATTCCTAGCAATTAATACCTCTTCAAAAAAAAAAAAACTACAATTACATACTTTTGATGGGTTTTCCATTATTTGATGACTTAACTTACCTTGCCATAGGTTCTAGATTAGAATATAATTTACTTTTGAAAATGAACAAACTTAATGGCGACTTGAATGGAGATGTATACTAAAATCTCTGCTAGAATAATCAAAACATATAGTTGTTTATTGGCAGTATATCTCAGTGGATCCACCTATGGGTAACATCAGACAATTGCTTAACAGTTCATAGGTAATTAAGTGAAATAAAAACCAAAAAAAAAAAAAAAAAACACTTTAAAAGATACTATACTAAAACTGTAATAAAATACCTTACAAGTTGAATAAACAATGCAAAAAATGACATATTTCCTATACTGTCTCTATCCCAACAGGCATTTTTAATTCGTGCAAGGGAGTGACCAAATGTTATCATTATCCACTTTTGTTGTGGTATAACTTGTTTTGAAACCTAAAGTCTAAATATTCCACTTATATCATTGGGATATTTTAGTTAATAAAGGCTATATTTTTAGTTGTGTGTTTAGCAGAATGTGACTGCTTTAAGATCACAATGTAGGTTATAACTTTAAGGACCTTCAACGTTAATTTCAATTTTAAAAAGTGCATATCTGTATGTTTTTCCACATTTGTCATGTTGTATATGCTTCTGTCTGAAGGAAAAAAAGTAACTGCATGGTTTTATTTTACTAATTGTTGTGAAGCATAAGCTTCATATTATCATAATTATAATAAACAAGAGGATGAAAACTTGCCCGGCACTAAGTAAATTTGATTTCATATAGCAAGCTCTCAAGACCATTATTTTTTGTAGACTACTTAAGATATATTCTGTTGCCTTTATATCTTTCTTTTTTTTTAAGATCATATGAATTCTTAGCTCAGGTCTAAAACTTGAATTATAAACTCTTTAAATGCCTGTAATTTAAATAGATGTGTTTTCTTCAGCCTCTTCTGAAACAATCTCCTTGGAGCAACCATCAGAGCAGTGGCTGGGGCACTGGAAGTATGTCCTGGGGAGCAGTGCATGGCAGAGATCATCGTAGAACTGGAAACATGGGAATTCCAGGAACTATGAATCAGATATCTCCATTGAAGAAACCGTTTTCTGGTAATGTCATAGCACCACCGAAATTTACTCGCTCTACTCCATCACTGACTCCAAAATCTTGGATTGAAGATAATGTGTTCAGAACAGACAACAATAGTAATACACTCTTACCCTTACAGGTAAGAATGGTATGTAAATAGCCTTATATTCTGATATTAATCTTTCAAAATAAGTTGGGTGGGGGTGGTATTAGATAGTAGCAGTATGTTAAAACTAAAACTAGATTTAAAGTTCTAATTTTTAAGCATATATTTAATTATCAAAGGGTAAAATATCTGTACAGAGAAAAATTTGAGAACCTGAAAAACTCTATAAACCCTCAATGGAAAATAAGCTACATGAAATGTAGAAAAACCTGTTATATCTCTTAAATATATATTGAAGCTTTTAATTGGCCATTCCTTAAGAATGCCTTAATTTGTTAATTAATAGGCCACCAAAACTTGCTTCTACTATAATATAGTTAGGCTAAAGTTTTCAGTAATTGTAATTATTCATAGATTTGACCATGATCAGCTGAATATATATATTAGAATATACTTGGTACAGCTATGATTGTGGTAGAATAATATTAGGGCTTTTTGCATCTAATTCAAATTTGTCTTCACTGGTCCAGTGACTGTTTTTTCTAAATGTGGCCTAATATTTATGGTGATCAGACATTTTTTTTTTCAGGCCTTTCACTATACTGTTTAGTTCCCTTATGAGTTTGGTTTTTTTTTTTCCCCTAAAATCTTTAGAGGATGGAATGAAGATTTAAGATAGAACTCTGATTGTTTTTGTTTTCTTTCTTTTTTATTTTGGGTGGGTATGGGGAAGAGAACTGCTCATTTCTGATGAAAACTTCTATGCTATTGAAGGTGAGATCTAGTTTGCAGTTGCCAGCTTGGGGCTCAGATTCACTCCAAGATAGTTGGTGCACTGCAGCCGGAACATCCAGAATAGACCAGGTAGGCTGCACAGTGTATATTTTTCAGGATTTTGGCTAGGAGTTAAGTATATATGAGTAGGATTTATTATTTACTTTTCCAATTATACTTATTTAAGCCTGTTTCAGAGGGCATTAAAGAAATTTAAGGATCACCTGATTTAAACTATTTCATATAAAATGAAATTTCATTTTCAAATTTAAAAGTAATTCATAATCATTTTAGATTTCCAAAACACAATAAATTTATTTTTGGAAAAAGGAATTAATTATATACCCAAGAGCACCTGACTTTAAACATCAAACTAAACAGATTTTATCACCTTTTAGAGTTATTTGCAATTAAGTACAAAACCATATATTTACTTAACAATCAGCCTTATATTTCATCAATGTTTTACAGAACTGTTTAGTAAATTTTTATCATGAAATCTATAACATTTGTCCTGAAATATATTTTTCGAAAAGCTCTGTCTTTTTTTTTTCTTTGCTTGTATGTTAAACATTGTGGTATAGTATTTCTTCATTCTGAATTTTGTTACTGCTTTTATATCCTGTCTTCTGAATATTCAGTTTTCTATGGAGAAACCCTGAGTCAAAAAGCTGGGAAATTAGTCTTAATCAAATTACCATCAAGCCCTTTATGGTTGCAAAATGCTATTTTTCTTCCTGCAGACTGAACTTGAATGCATACTGAATACCAAGTGATGAGAATTATTACAGGATATAGAAAACTCAGTCCTTATTTAGGAGAATTCTTTCTTATAGAGCCCAAGTTTGAATGAGCAAAGACGGGACATAGTGTGAGTTATGTGAATGAAGCTATGTTATTCTTAGCTAAGGCTTTTCCTTGGTCAATTTATCAGCATGAGATGATTATACAAGTAAGGACTGTTTAATAATACATTTGTAAATAGCCTACTAATCTAGAGAGTTAGCACTAACTTCTTTGATAATCAACCATTAGCAGTTGTTTTAGACAAGTCCTACCTATTTACTAAAATAGTTCTGCCAGGATCTCCACTTAGAAATAATTGTCTCATGTAATTAGCAATTTATTTTCTTGCTAATATAAGTTAGCTAGCATCTATTTCTACTGCTTTCTCTACTCTGGCCCAGTTAAGCCATATTAGTGACTTTTTTATGGTAGCACTTTTATATTGTTCAAATTGAATACATAAATACCTAGGAGATGGTATGTTAGGAGAGTAAAATTATTGTAATTATTTCGAAGGTGGCAAGAGAAATGTTTTTAGAGGAAGGGACATAATTATTCTAAGTGTATATGTAGGAAAAAGCCATAGGATACGTGTCTGAGAGTTTTGTATCCATGGAGAAGAAAGATGACAAATTAGCTGGCCTAAAAGGTCCATGGGGGTGGGTGCAGCTGCTGAGAAATTAGCTTATTGAGAGTTTACAGTTAGTGGAATACTAGAGAGTAGACAGAGGTGACAACAGAAGGGAAATTTTCAACCTGGGCTCTGGGACTGCTACAGGACAAGGGCTCCAGCTCTCCCACTTAGACTTCATTAAAAACTACTCTGCTTTTACAGGTTTTATAATCTGGGGTTTGGGGTACATTCATTTTAGGAAAAAGGATTTGGGGCTTAAAGTAAATTTTTGGTAAACTGCTGAGGTATGGCATTCCTTTTGACTCTTGTACAGAGATGTCATGTGCTGAAGTTGAAGAGAATGGTGAAAAAAAAAAGAAAGAAAGAAAAGAGGTAACAGAAAGTAAATTGAACTGGAAGGAAAAGAAGTCTGAAACCTGAATCTTCTTCCTCTTTTTCTCACAATCTTTATGTCATTGAATTCATCTCTCTGGGTATTAATTTCTTTATCTGTAAAAGAAGGACATTGAACGAGGTCATGTGAGGTCTTTTCAGCCCACTCATACTTTCTCTGATGTTTTGGCCATTTTTTTTCCTCCCTGCTCTGGTACTCACCCACCTTTATTTTTAGAATATAAGCATCTTGGTTTCTTGGGGGGAGAGGTATAAGATATTGGTCTAAGGCAGTGGAGGTAGCATATCACCTTACAACTAGTGTCAAAAGCAGTGTCATTGTGTTCTTCTATTTGTTTTGAACATTATTTGTTCTCTGTTTCCATCTTTCCATAAAAGGTTGAGGTATTTGAAGTTGAGGTTCTTAAAAATACAGCAGCAGCTATAAACTGGAATTGGTATCTTAAACCATTGGGTACTTCCTCACTATTTGGCAAAATTGAAATTATAGAAAATGCTTAATCACTTAAATCTGGGGAGATTATTTTCATTGTTTTATCTTTTGTCATCATACATAACATTTTAATATTAGCAAGTGTTTGTTAACAAATATATTATTTTCAAGCATTTAACTTTTTATTTCTTTTATTCTCAAACTGATTAGGCCTAGAATATACTCAGTTATAGAACTGAAGTCTTAGTTCTCTTAGTTCTTATACATTAATTCTCTTAATTCTTATACTTGGATACTTCAGGACTTACCTATACCAAGAGCTGAACATGTAATTGAATTCAGTAAGTGGAAAGAAATAGTTTTGTAGACTGATTTATTTGTATGTAAAATTTTGTGGGTTGACATTTCTTTATTTTAAATAAGCTTTTTATGGAAAAGCTTCAAATTTATAAATTTTTAAAAGCATATGAAATTGTTATGCATATTTCTAACTTTAAAATAATTATTAGATATCTCTATTAATTTCCTTAAGGCTAAGAACTGCTTTACTTTAAAACGCTGTTAGGGCTGGCTGGTTAGCTCAGCTGTATAGACTATAGTCTTAAACACCAAGGTCATGGGTTTGGATCCCCATGTTGGCCAGCCAAAGGGGGTAGGTGTAAAACGCTATTAGCAGTTCACTGTAAACAAAGCAATGTCATGCAACTGTAATACACCGTGTGAAGCCTATAAATGTGTGTTGTTGGCCTGTCCCCTAGTTGGGTGATTATCAATTATTATCAATAGATTTTTGTTTTTATAGAATCTCTGCTTGCAGTGCTTGAGAATGTAACATAAACTACATTGAATTAATTGAAGATATTTTCCACCCATCTTTAGTATCCAGGCTGTTATTATAATGTGATAAACAGTAACTTGGAGATGGCTCTCAGAAAAATATATTTTTTGAGTCTCTTCATCTTACTCAAAAAACAGTACATAGTTGGGCCGGCCCGGTGGCACACTGCTACAGTGTGCCGCTTGCGAGTGCGGCGGCGCTCCCGCTGAGGGTTCGGATCCCACATATAGACCGGCCGCTCACTGGCTGAGCGAGGTGCGGGCGCAACACCGAGGGTTGCGATCCCGTTGCCAGTCCCGGTCCGGTACAGGCGCGACACTGAGGGTTGCGATCTGTTGCCGGTCATGAAAAAAGACAAAAAGGGAAAAAAATAATAATAATAAAAAACAGTACATAGTAGCAGGCCAAGTCCAATATTTCATCTAATAAAGCATTCTTTAAATTGTGGTTCTTAAACCAGATGAACTCTGGGGACATTGGTAGTCATCAAATTGTTATACCTCTTGTATACATGCTTAGGTAATGGATGTTTTTTTTTTTACGTTTCTTATCCTGTGTTCAGTTCTTTATTTGTACTTGAAATATTTTCAACTTGTTTTTCCATTTTCTTTAATTCTTGCGGGTACTAGCATAAATTTGGCTGCTTTTGGCCTTTTAAAATTTTCGAAACTTTTTTTTTCAGAATGACTGTCAGCACTTTTTGAGATGCAGAATAAATTAAAAAAATTTTAAGAAATGTGTTTTCATTGTTTATATGTGTTTTAATTAAACTTGGGATATAGGGAGGAAAACTACTGTTCTTTGCCTATGAGAATGTAAAAATCCAGTTGGATAAGTAAGGGGTATCTATGTGGAACAACTAGAGAATGATATGAGGGTTTATGAGATTGAGTGCCATGTTATTTAGTAAAACAGAGTAGCACATCATCTGCTGCTAATTCAATGTGGAGTAATAACACTGTGTAATCAGGAAGATATAGTCAGTATTTAAAATTGAAGACAATATTAGCACAACTTGCTTTTTTCTTTAAATTTTCTAAAGTAAAAATTAGAGAACTTTACACAAACTTTGAAAGTATAGGAAAAGCTGATCTTTCTACTTCATCAGAAGAATACATGTTCAAGCTTCTGGTATATCATTAAATATGAGAATTTAGGGTTTTTCTATAATCCATCTTTTTCTTTGGGATAGTACTTTGTTTTCGAGAGGAAAATGTTCTACTGGACCACTTCTTCTGAAATAAAACAGGGTTTTGAATATATCAAAGCAAAAAAATAATATCTCATCAAAAAGTTCCCTCACAATTAATTCCTTTTGTTGCACTAATTCTAGTATTGTACATTGACCTCCTTAGTTATTTTTCAGTGTTCGTAATCTTTTTCAAGTTCATCATTTTCAAGATTAGGATTACTTTGTTACTTTCTTTGGTTTTCAACCCTTCTAAGACCTTATTGAAGCTTCCATAAGTATTTGTGGCAAATGTCTGTATTTATGAAAATCAGTAAGATAAATATTAGAATAAAGAGGTTATATTTTTTCCACCAATGTATTCTAACATTTTTTTTCTGTTATTGTGTGATTCTGTAATTTCAATTTCTGAAAGCCCATTTGGTTGATTCTTTACCAGATAGTTTTCATATTTTAAAATAGGTTGAAATAGGGGATAAACTTTTCCTCATAGAGATTCTTATTTTTGTGAAGTATCTTTGCTTTTTTCAAATAATCATGTAGTAATAAATGTAAGTTCACTTCGCTATGGCTTTCCGTATTTATTAAGACTGATCAATATTGGTGTGTCCATGGCTACTTTAAAATTGCCTCAGGACTTCTATTTAGTTTTTAAACCAATGGCACTTTGCATGAACACAAATTTTTCTACTTCCCTATTTCAGAAATATGCATGAGTATATTTGTTTTATAACCAGATTTGTTTCTGGTTTTCAGAAGTCATATTTTAATCTGTATAATTTTACTTAATGGATTTATCTGTATCTTTTGCACATGAGCCTATAGATTTCATTAAATTCAAGAAACAATTTTGAGATGTCATGAGCTCTTTGCTTGCTCATGGTTGTTTTGTGTTTGTTGCTTTAAAAATCACGTGGGATGCAGCTGATGCTTAACAGAGAACAACTAAACTAACAGTTTTAAAACAGCTTTGCAGTTTTCTTTCCTAAAGTAGGAGTTTGAATCATGAACAAAGACTTGATGTAAAAAGGAAGTTAAGGAACCCTGTAAGTCAGCATCTCACTGTTTTAGTTGGATATAGGCATTCAAGCCAAAATTAATACATGCAACTTTTTTGAGTAACAACTCTCAGTTGATATATTGTGGTCACATATTTATATGAATAGCTTGCTTAAGGATTTTTTCTGTCATACATTTATATTGTCCATGACACATTGACAGTGTATATAGAGTTTCTTCAGTAATTTTACTGTGTGTTAGAACACAATCACACTCCCTGCAATGGGGGTGGCTGATGCACCTTCTCCCACCTCCTCAGAAAAAGAAAGTTGCTTGGGGAATATCATTTGGGTGGTGTTAATAGTCACCATTAGTTAAGGCCATAGATTAACTGAAGATGGGGCATAGCTTGATTCTGTTCAAAATTATCACCCTGGAAAGATAGCTCTGAACTATAACACATTTTCTTCACAAGAATTTAGTTATTAGGATATAAAGTTTTAAAATATTTATAATATACTCTTAGAACCTATGTGATACAGCATACCTTCTGAGGGATTTTTGCTTAATTATGTGAACATTAATTTTTATCATGACAGTTTACATTTTATAATTCTATTTTAAATACATCTTAGAACTTTGAATAGTACCTAGTCTTCCATTGGATGGTTGGAAATTCAGGTTGATAGCAAGGCCACGTTAATATCTGATGCTTTTCTCAGTTTAGTCAATTAGCATTTGACTTCATGTTCTAAAGAGGATTTTGTAAAGGCATTATAGTCCTTTATAATTAATATTTAAAAAGTCTTTGTCGTCACAGAACTCAACTTACATATTTTTACAAAGGTTTTATGGTAGAGATAAAGTCGTATTCATTCAAAAGACATTTGAGCGCTAGCAATATTCATAATTAGAAGTTCCCTAACCTTAATTAACCTAGAAGTTTAGAAGGAGAGACAGGAAAATCAACACATTAGTTATGAATGTAGTATAGTAGAAACACAGATGGAAATATTTGGATGGATTCCTGAAATCGTGTGTTGCTTTTGCCCGAGGGCCATCCTCTTCTCTATTCCAGTTTAATTTCATTTATCATATACTATTTTGAATGTTTTTCTTTTCTATAATTTTTAAAGTGAACTTTAGGCATTGTGTAGTTTGACATGATTATTTTATATTCTAGAAGCTGGAACCAGAGTCTAAAAAGATTTAGTGACTTATACTTAAAGTGTGGTCTTCAGGCTAGCAGAGTCAGTATCACCTGGGAACTTATTAGAAGTCCAGATACTCAGGTGCTACTCCAAACCTGCTGAATCAAACTCTGTTGATATGTCCCAGCAATTTGTGTGTTTAACTAGGCTACCAAATGATTCTGAAGCAGATTCATGTTTGGGAACCACTATATAACTGCTTAGTTGTCTCTGCCTGCTTCACTAATCAAGGTCATTGTTCTAGTAGACAGTTGCTATTGATGGGTGTGTTAGACCTCAGGGGTCTTTGAGTAAAAATCACTAAGGGATACTGAGTAGTTTATTGGTGATAAAGCTGGAATAAGAGCTTCCAGTCTAGCATTATTTCCATCATTCAGTGTTACTTTTCACCCTTTTAATTCCTTGGCAGCAACTTATTTAGTTTACTCTAGTCCTCTCGCTTTATAAAGCTTACCACTCTAACATCATTTAGAGTAAATAAATGAACATATTTGCAGGGAAGTGTCTTATATTTTTCTTCAGCTTTCTAAAGAACTGATTCTGGATCTTCTCTGGATTGTGAACCCTTTTGGAAAACTGACGAAAGCTATAAACCTTTTCTTCTGAAAAAAAGAATTATGTATACAGTACACCCATATACAGTGTGTTGTATATAATCTCAAGAGACTTATAGTCTGTCTTGAAACTCATGGACACAGGTTAAGAAATGCTTTATTATGATTTCTATGGGGACTTTTTTTTTTCACTTAATTTTCTGATTCTTCCTTTTCTGTAGTATTCATTTTTAGAGTTTAAAATGGCCTATCCTGCCTACCCCACATATACCTAAACTTGCATGAGTTTGTGGGCGTACACATATATGCACAAACACATGCACACACTTAAATGGGTGGAGGATGGCACTGATGTTTTGTAGGGAAAAGCTACAGGGCTATTTGGAGGGCATGGGCCAGAGCTTGTTGTAGTATTTCTGTATATTTTTTTCATGCGCACTGAGTATGTGTTTAGCAGAATACAATATAAATTCATGGGCATTAAGGAATAAAATATCCTTTAGTAACTGAGTGGGGGGATTGAACATTGAGCAAACAAGACTTCTGACAACACAAAAGACTTCGTTCTGAGTCTTGGTGAAGTAGGAAACTTAGTGAGATCAGTGCGCTTTTGCCCTTCCTTCCCCTGCATGCCTTGTGTGCAGGGGAATGGGGGAAGGGAGGGCTTAGTAATGCAGAGAAAAATATGAGAGTACTTTGGAGAGTGAGATTTGAATATTAATATTATAGGCATTAGTCTTTGTTCTGACTTCAGTATCTCATGCTTTTGATTTTTGCTGTATAAAATGCATATGCAGCCTTTACTATGAAATTCAGACTACTAAGTCAAATAACAAAATGTTTGGTAGATGTTTAAAGAATGGTGCAATCATGGAATTAATTTTTCCTCCAAATATTTATTCTCTGAGTTCCAGTGTCTTTCTTCATAGATATGTGAGAAAAGTTTAGAAGTTAAATAAAATCTAAAAGTGTTTTCTGCTTGTATAACATTTCAGAAGTCTTTATAGAGAATGATAACAGAAATTATTTTACTGTATTGCTTTAATACTGTCAATGAAATTAGTATAAGATTTTGGTGATGAATATATTGAAAATTTTGTCCTCCGATGCAAGAGACATCATAGCCCATGAGATCTGTAGTTATTGGTATTTTCTGGAGAACCAAATTGATTAGTAATATTATATTAATCAGATGCCCTATTTTATGTAAGAGAATTTAGATATTATTTTTATAATTGCTTTTTGAAAAAACTGCATAGATTATAAGTCTTTCTTTTTTCTTCTCTTCCAGGATCGAAGTAGAATGTATGACAGTTTGAACATGCACTCTTTGGAAAATTCCCTGATTGATATTATGAGAGCAGAGCATGATCCTCTCAAGGGTAGGTGAAAAAACATTTTTTTTAAAATATTTTTTATATCATACACCAGTCTATCTGCTTATCTTAACAGTTTTATATGAAAAGTGCAGTAACAACTATTTCAACTGTAAAATTGTATTATATATTTATTAATAAGAATTTTTGTTTTTAATGAAACATCATACTTTTTTATTGCTTAATGTGAACCCATCTCCCTTGACTTATAATTTAAGAAAAATTCACTATTTAGAGATATACTGCAGTTCACCAAAGAATGAAGAATGGATCTAGAAGTGTACTGTAGGCACTTCTCTAGAATTCAATCAAGAACAGAAATATTTTTTAAAATATCTTAAAATACTTACATTCACAATTTGCAGTGATTCCAACCTAGAATTTTCCTAGGTTTACTAACTTCCTTATTTTTCTTCTACTGTCATATCAAAGGAATTTTAAACAGGAATCTTTTATATTAGCTTCTCTGAGGTGAAGAATAGCTCTTCATAAAAGTTGGGGGAAATTAGGAAAAATAATCATCAAACTGATCTTACAGTAGCAGTCTTCAGTAATTGTTAATGATATCTGAAGAAATTCCATTAACATATCTTTTCATTTGTGTAAAATGAAAAAAAAGTTAGCAATTATTTTACATTTCTTTGTACAATATATCTCACTGCCCTTTATATTAATGGGGAAAATCTAGCAAACTGTGTGAACTTGACTGATGAGAGATAACTTGGTATCTGTTGCTACTTAATAAGTTATGCCAAAACATAGCAGCTTTAAAACAACAATAAATATTTATGAAGGTACTTCAAAAATTTTATAGAAAAATGTGTATTATCTTTTAACTCTATTTTTCCATGAACTTTTTGAAGTACCCTTATATACCTCACTTAGTCTGTGGGTCAGGAATTCAGGAGCCACTTACCTATTTGGTTCTGGCTCAGATCTCTCATTGAATCAAAGTCATGGATTACTTTGTAAATTTTCTACATTTTTAGTTGTATAAAGCCAAGTAAAATTTTTCTTAGAAGATTTATCCTAGAAACTCTTGAACTTGGGTGTTGGCAACAAGATGGTGGTGTGGGGTTAAGTTGATAATACTGATCATTTATCTAACCATTTCATTCTGTTTCTGGATTTTGGTTGTAAAAGAGTTTCCTTGTTTTTCTAATTTCTTTATTTTAAGGAGCTTAAGAAGCTGAAGGGTTGTTAGTGATTATTGATGATGTGGGCCAATGGTAATTTCCTACATAAGCTAATAAAGTTATACTTTGGGTTTTGTTTTGTTTTGTTTTTTCCTACCAAAATTTAGCTTAGTTTTTTTGTGTTTTTTTTTTTTTTTTTTTTTTTTGAGTATTTGTGTATGGAAGTCTTGTTCATTTTCAGTGTTAAGCTGACAGTTCCAGTATTGTCTGTCTTCGATTCACCATTGAAGAAGAGAAGCTAGCAGCTTATGATTAAGAAGAATATCCCTCTGTTTATCTCCTTGACTTCTCTATATAGAAAACGCCTAGAAATCCTAATACAAGATAAAGTCATTTTATGAAAATATTGGAGAAAATAGTCAGTTTTTCTCTTTTTCTAGTCTGGGTTGTAGTAAAAGTAGAGTGAAACCTAGAGAGAAAATCTTGCATATGGCTAAGAGGAATTTAATAATAATTTTTAAAAAGCGATTTAAAATTCTTTTATTAGAAAAGTTATCTTTGGCTGTGGGAAAGGAAAACCATGGGCACCACCACCTTTAGGAATTATCATAGTGACAAATCTGTTTATAATTGTGGTATTTTATGTTTCACGTGTTATGGTAGGGAATAAAAAAAGAAGAAAAGGAAGAAAAAACATTTGAGAAAACTTCTCTGCATAGAATAAAGAAATAAGGCTGATACTTTTGCAGATTTTCATTATATACCTATTCAAAATTATCATGATACCCAGGTGCTGCCACTTAAAGTTTTTCTTCCTTTTCTTACTAGTACAAAGTCTACTGCCTCCTAGGATATCATACTGTATATTTTCTTCCTCCCCATACTCTGATCATTACACTTTTTCTTTGGGCTGGACCTCAGTAGAACCTATTAAAGCAAGATGGTTGCTGATGGAAGAAACTGGAGTTAACTCGCAAGTTTTTTTTCCCTTTCTTTGCATTCCTAATCTATAGGACAGCACTTCAGCCTCTATTCCATCTTCTCATCCCCTTCAGAAAATCTTGTCCTCTACTTAATACAAAAAAAAATCTTTTATCCCCCCAAAACAAAATGAATCTTATTTTATGCTTTCAAAAAGTTTTTTAAAAAAAAAAAAACAGCCATTTTTCGTCTTCCTTATAGGAGAAGAAAAAGGAGGAGGGAGTTGGAGGATAAATTTTTTAAATTAATTCCTTGTTTATATTAATAAAATCTAAAAATTCTTAGAAAACTGTCAGAACTTGAGTGATCGGAGGTTATATTAGTTATCTATTGCTGAATAACAAATGACCCCCAAACTTAGCAGCTTAAAACAACAAACATTTATTATTCAATAAGCACAATTTCTGTGGGTTAGAATTTGGAAAGAGTTTAACTGGTTAGTTCTGGCCAAGGATTTCTCATAAGGTAGTAGTCAAGATATTGGCTGGGGCTGCAGACATCTGAAGGCTGGACTGGGGCTAGACTATCCTATTCCAAGATGGCTCACTCACATGGCTAGCAAGTTAGTGTGGCTGTTGGCAGAAGAACTGACTTTATTGCCACATGGACCTCTCCATAAGGCTAAGGTTTACTCACAACATGGTTGCTGGTATCCCCCAGAGTGAGTAATGAAGCTCAAGGCAAATGCTCCAGTGTCTTCTATGACCTTACTTCTGAGATCTCTCCCCATCATTTCCACAACATCTAGTAGCTACATAGGTAAACTCTGCTCAATTTGGAAGGGGTTCACTACTCAAGAGATGTGGATACTAGGAAGCAAGGGTCAGTGGAGGTCATCATGGAGGCTGGCTACCACAGAGGTGAAAAGCAAAGCTGTAAATTTTCATTCAAGTCAAGGTGAAGGTTAGTGTCAATAGGAGGAAAAGCAGTTAAGCAGATCTCTAGAATGCAAAGAAAGGCAAGCTACTAGCCAGGCTGAGAACCGAGTAATTGTACTGACAAAAGCACCCTCTCATCCTCACTTGCGCCCAAAATACTTCACTACAGCTTATTGCCGTTTCCTCCTTCCCAGTGGTTTTTATAGGTCAGTAGGGAGCATTTATTGTTTAATGTTAAGTTTTTTATGGTCTAGCATAGCAGGTGGAAAGGGTCTAGTCTTGTTGGAGCTGTACAGATGTGAAATGATGGCAACCAAGGATAGAACTCTAAACGTACTTTATTTTATTCCACTAAGTGTGCCTACTTTTGCACCAGATGGTGTCCTAGACACTGGCTGTACATTGTGTGAAACAGATGTGGTCTCTGCTCTCGTGGTATGGAGATACAGACCTTACACAAACACAGTATACGTGCAACTACATGGTGTTTGAAATACTATGGAGGGAGATTATAAGGTGCTTAGAGAGATTGTTAGTGGAAGGAAGTGCCTAATTTAGGTGTGGAGTAAAGGAAGCTGAGAACTGAGGCCTTAGCAGCACAATGATGGAAAACTACTGGGGGGAAATTGTCAACTAGACAAGGGACCCAGCAAAAGCATGGAAGAGATTATCACATTGGAAGGCTAGTTCTGGCCTGATACTGATTGGGTGCAACACAGCTTAGTTAACACTGTCCTTTAGTCTGGATCTTGAACATGAACACAAGTTATATGCTTTCCTTTGCATGAGTGGCACTGACTGATCTGCTTTATTTATTCTGCAGTAGTTTCTCTCCACTAACATCCTATTTTCTGATGACTGTCTTGATACTTGGCAAATATTTTGCTTTTCAAAGGAAGGACAAGCATGAATTCTTTTAATGGTTAATGCAGATCATGCTTTGCCGCCAAGTACAGTTTTGTAATTTTGCGGTTTGTATTTGCGTACCCATTTTAAATAATCAGTGATTTTTTATGTATGCGTAGGTCAGTTCATTCCCATTTAAACAGAAAAACAAGACAGTGATTATTGTTAAGCTCTCTTCACTGTCTGCACCCAACAATTTGTAAAAAGATCTTACTATGTAAGTATTTTTGCCAAAAAATTGCTTATACCCTCCCCAAAGTATAAGGACAAACAAAAAAATTTAATTTCAGCTCATAGAAGTTGATTTGAAAACTGTTGGAAGAAATACAGTCTGTATAACAGTTCTTGGGAAGATCTGTCTCAGCAGGTTATAATGCCTTTACCAATGTTCTCTGAATAATTAAAGTGAATTCAGGAAAAAGGATTTAGAATGTGATTTTATGCCAACAAATGTTTCGAAGTGAATGTCCTTAAAACCTTTTGTTTACTATGTGTTTTTATATATCTAGCATCATTTTTATTACTTGATCACTAAACTCCTATTTTTTAGACTCTTGAAGTAAGAAGCTGAGCTTATTTTAGGGAATATAATCCTTGAGAAAATAAGAAATTACTCCTATAAGATGCAAAGTGGTTGTAGTAGCATCAAACAAATTCTTGCTTCTTTTCATCCACTTTTCTGTTTCTCTTCAGCTGGCCTTAATATAAGATGGAAGTTCAATGTCACAAAACAACTTCTATGAATTTCTAAAAGTCTGTCATGTGAGAACTTACATTTTATAACTTAAGGACTTTTGAGCTGGACAGAGTTTCTCAAACTCAGAGAGCGTGTTGATCATGCAGGGTTTAGGGCCCACTCCCAGAGCTTGTGTTTCCCATGCTGTGTAAAGAGCATACTGGGAGAAACTGTTATAGGAGAGCAATAGCAGAAAGATCTAGGGAACACTGTGAAAGTTTAATGGCGTTTACCAAAGTGCAGCAAATTACAAACTAAAATGAATGCCAGTGATGTACGAGTACATGCCAAAGCAGTTAAGTCGACCCCTTTTACACAGCCCTACTTTCTTCTCTCTGACCAGAGAAAGGGATACATTTCTCAAAACTG